CCATCAAATAGTTTGTATACAAGACCAGCAAGAACTGTGCCCTAACTTAGAGTTAGTTTGGTTTAGAGTTGGAATCGGAATCCGAATGGTCTGTTTGGTTCAGACAGGAATTAATTAGAATGAGAATTTGAATCAGTTAGAATAGGATTCATTCCCAAGGGAGGGGAATTCCACCAAGAATGAGAGTGAGATTCTCATTCCGCCCAATCAACCAGTTGGAATTGAAAAGACCCATTCCAATTCCGATTCCAAACCCCTATTCCCACGAAGCAAACTGGCCCTTAATCGGTAGCTAGTGAGTGACATTAGAACCGAGAGTGGATCGATCACTCGTAAGGGCAATGGTATGGCTCTGATACCAACTTAAAGAATGCAAGACACAAGAAACACATTAGAGAATTAATTAAGAATAAATACTAGTCCTCTAGTGTGCATTATTGTGTGTCAAAACTCCTCCAAGAGCTAGAGCTAGAGCTAGCTTGCATGGGGATGGGGTTACGACGTTGCTAATGGTTTGAAGAATGAATTGATTTGCAGGAAATTCCAAGAGAGGCAAGGGAGTATGAGCTTGGACATGGAATGTATTACTTTGTGCTGTCTGCAAGCGCCATAGTTTGGCAGTTATCTTTAATAGGACTTTTAGGCCTAATCTTCTGCACTACCTCTCTCTTCACTGGGATCTACGGTGCAGTTCTCCTTCCTTTTGCAGAGATCGGGGCTGTCATCGCCTACCATGAGAAGTTCACCGGAGAGAAGGGGATTGCTTTGGCTCTTTGCCTTTGGGGCTTCACCTCTTACTTCTATGGAGAGTACAGGAAGAGCAAGGTGGAGAGAAGCATGACAATCGATGACCAATCGCCTCAGCCATGAATTGCCCAGAATGCATGACTACAGTTTATATATATGATTTTATCCTAGAATCCAATAACTTTAAAGATCACATTCTTTCCATTATCACTGGAGATTTGATGATTTTGTTATTTTTTTCAATAAAGACTTTGTTTGTTTGTAGTGCAAATTTTAACTGGAGAGAAATTTTGCACCTGGTTTAGTTTTTCATTTATTTGCTTGTAATATGCACTTTTACCTATACAATCACTGACAATGCGAATATGTATGGCAAAAACTGATGCAAAATTTTCACCACCTTTTATCCTTCCTGGTCCTCTGAAAATCACACTATCTTGCTTTCTATACCTCACTCTCAAAGCAAATAACCCTCCTATCCCCATACTCTTTCCCATAAAATGGGGCTACTTCATTCATTTGGCTTCCCAATATTTTACTTCTCAGACATAGTCAAATATAAAGCAAAACTAAACCAGAATTTACACCGACTCCTATAAATTCACACTACAAACAAACTTCTTTTTCTTTTTTGGTCAAACCAAAGAAAAAAAAAGGAATATTTGACTTCTATTGCTATAGAATATAGACCATGGTTTCAATGTTGAGTCCAGGTCACTTCCCAATAAAACACGTTCTAACCCTCTACTGTCATGATCTTACACTCTACATCTCATATATGATGGGTCCCAGTCTCATGATGAGATATGCAGTGTTAGATCAAGTTGGTGGTGTGAAACTAACTCCCCTTTTTCAGTAAGGAATCATGCAAGTAATGGTGGGACTATTATGTGAAACTAGCTAACTCCCTTTTTCAACTATATTGGTGGTGTTTTAATGAGCAAAATTAGTAGAACAATTGAGAAGTGAGAGAATTGCCCCAATTGGACCAACTGATGGTGGCTCAGGTGGTAAGTTCTCTGGCATGGGATCCAATCAGTTTGCCACAAAGGAGGGGATAATGGGTCCCCCCCTAGGGGTGATCATGGGCTGGGCCGGTAGCCCGGGGTTCTGGGCCTGAAATATAAGCCCTAGCCCAGGTATATACGGGCCTAGGTTGGGTCGGGCTTGTTTCCGGGCCAATGTCACTCATGTATAAAACATTACATATCTATATATTAAATGACATAATATGCATATAAACTTATTTTATAAATTATATAATATAAAATATGACATATAATATAAATTATACATATTATGTTATAATATTTATATATAAAATATATAATATAATGTAAAACATAGGAAGAATTAAACTCTTAAGTTAGGGTTTGAACTGTAGAGGGCTAGTTGGGTAAATGATAATTTTAATTAACCATGCAAGTAAGCCTGCTAATGAAGTCGCTATGCTCAAATTATTTTGGATTTCGATGATACATTTGCATAATAGGATTCAATTTGGATTTTAGAACTTCCAACTTCCATCTTTTTAATAATCAAATTAGATGCAGATTCAACCACATCCCATCAATTCAATTAACATAGGAGTCCAATCAAATTTTATAAAATACATGTTATATATATATAGTGTGAGAGAGAACATGTTATTATACACATATGCATGTACTTTTATGATGTGCATGGAAAATCAAAGCAGGTATATGCTTTATATATAGTATATAGATATATAATTATATAAGCTTTATCCATACATTTTTGCCTTGGATTTTATGCCCATCATAAAAGTTAAATCCAAATATAGGATTAATACTTGCACATATAATCATACACTAGTAATTAATAAAGTCAATAGTTTTATATTTATATAAAATTATTCTATATTTACAAATTAATTAAAAGAAATAACTTTTATAATTTTTTAATTCTTTTTATTTTAAAATCAACGAATCAGGCTTGGATTTGATCGAAGTCCGACCCAAGATCTGATCTGATTCGACACCTCTAAATCAGATCAGATTTCGGATCCTATCCAGATTTAAATTTTAAATAATTAGATCCAATTCGGATGTGGCTAAATACAATGAGAGTCAACCCAATCGCAGCTCTACATCTACGTGACCTCTTCCTCTTCTTTTTTTTTTATTTATATGATTCCTAGAATAGAGGATCCGTTTGAGGGGGTTCAGCTTTGACTGAGCTGTTTTTTATGAGGGGTGATTTGACCTTTCAATCACATAGAGCCATGTGGTGAGTCCGAGCCATTTTATGACACCCTGGCGCCACGTGAAGACAGGTCGTACCTGACTACACCGGCCTAAGCCGATCAATCCGAATTGGACCTCAACCAACGAGAAACTGGCAGATCACTCCACGACAGGATGGAGCACATCATCTCGGAGAAGCAAGCCGATGACTTCGAATACCGACTTGTCCTCCCCAACCTGTGTGGTTAGTTGACCTACCGACTTGTCCCCACCCACCTGATGCTGACAGTGATGATCCTGGTTCTGTCCGATTCGGAAGAAGCCAGATAAGGGTCATCCCAATGCTAGTACGACTTTCCCTGAAGATAACGGGCCAATTGCTCCCAAATATCTCGGACACGTCACTTGTGATGTCTATATAAAGGGACTTTCACAACGTACGCACAATTACGTGTAAACTCTCTCTTACTTTCTGAATCTCTCTATTTTCTTGCTCTCTAGTTTGGCTAATTTAAGCATCGGAGTGCCTATCCCCCAGGCACTCTGATCCTCTATCTCCTGCAAACCGGTCTACTAACCTCAACATCCATGCATACGACTTGTCCTCCAACAGGGAAATTGGGCAAATTCGAACTACATCAATTTTGAAGAAGCTACTAAAAATACTTTCACGGGTAAGTCATTTTCTTTGTTCAATGTAAGCATATTTGGTGTTCCTAGTTCTTTCACCAAACATTACTTCTAGGCTTTCTGTGTGAGGCCTACATTGCAAAGTTAGAGAAGCTGGTGCATGAAAGTCCTCCCAGACGAACACAGAGGCATGAAATGAGAATTACAAGGAGCATTGGATGTTCAGTATTCAGCCACTCCTATCAGTGTTGTAGGAAGTCCAGGATATTGTACAATACGTTGCATTACATATCTACACTTTGAACCTTGATCATTTCAAAATCCTATCCCAATTTCTAAAATTCTCTAAAAGTTGTCCTTTTTTTTTTTCTAACTTTTGGTTATACCAATATTTTGACTCTTGGACCTAAGGTTGTGTTTGGTTTGAAAGAGAATAAGAGAGGGAAAAAAAAAGTTTGAAGGAAAGTTCTCAAAGAATTTCACAAAATTTATGAAGTATTTACCCTTAACTTTCTGTTTCTCTTGTTGTCTATCAAACCAAACATAGCCTATACATGGTCCTAGAATGGATATATTCTTTGACATGTTATGAGGATCTAAATCCGTTTCTCCCATCTGGATGTGGATATAAATTTTGGCTAGATCAAATTCAGATCTGACCTGTTTCATATACATTAAAAATATTTTATGCTAGTTTAAACTTTAAAGTATGATACATATGAACGTGTATCGGGTGTTTCAATACTTCTTAACTTCTTTTTTTGTGTTTTTTTTCTTTTTTTTTTCAGATGGTCAGTTTGAGACTTTTAGGCTTCCCTACCCCCTGAAAGCGACCAATGCCAATACACCCCTTATTTGGGATTTTGATAGCTTGTTAATGCAATCAAAATTCAAAATATCAACATATATCAACCTGTATCAGCCGATATATATCGTATCGGGGTTTTGACCGGTTCAGGGGGGGTGAAAGAGCCTTAGACCAACCCCCCTGAACCAATTTTAAAAAAAATTAAAAAAAAAAAGTAAAAAAAGGACCGATACACCCCGACGTATTGAACGCAATATGATACATCCAATTTAGACATGACGTATCGAAATTTTGAACCATGAATCGAAAGTATTATATTAAACTTTTAAACCTTGTATGATTCATTTTGAGAAGGGTCCAAATTCACGAGTCTGGTAAAAAGTTTTGATGCGTGCTAGCAACATTAAATGGCCGTCCTTGAGCATTGGTGATGATGAATTATTCTGAGAAGGCAAGAGAAAAAGAAAAAAAAAAAAAACGAAAATATACTTTCCCCATGGAAAATAATTCACTCGGCCTAAGCAAACTCATTTTACAAAGAACAACACGTTCGTTAGTAGGAAAGCCGTGTGTACGTGAACACGCACACACATAGAGTCTAGTGTCCATTTAAGAATGTAATTTGCATTCCAATGAGAGAGAGAATTAAAACACAACTCTCTTTTTTAATGGACCATTTCATTAAGATTAGAAGCCCCTTACAGGGGTTCCTGTTAGCCTTGTCAGATGGAGACAGAAGTTCCAAAAAGATTGCATATATAGCAAAAAATAATAACCTTCTCAACTCCTATGACATGGTTGATATACATTTTTCATTCACGGAATGTCTTCTGATCCCCAAACTACTGCTAGTCCAGCCACAACCAAAGATCAATCTGATTGTGTCCTTTACGGCTTTACCCTCGCTTCACCGGCCTTTGAACGTATGATTTGTTGGGGTCTTCAGTCTTAAGCTTTGGAGGTCGAATCTCTCCTTTCTTAACCTACAAACACATCACAGAGCCATGTTCAGAAAACCCTTCATCTGCTTTCAATTAATATAAGCAACAAAATAGTATCTGGTCCGTATCATCACCTTCTTTCCTGTCTTCATGAAATCTCTCCAGCTGGAAACCTGTCAATGAATCAATGAAGTAAATGAGAAATTGTCCCTAGAACGGGAAGTGTATTTAACTTGTCTGGCCCATTCAAACAGATATAACATGAAAAGGAACCCTCCAAATCATCACATTCTTACAAAATTATAATATATTGAAGCTTAGGCAGATAAAGTGTTCCTCCAGTGTTCATAGTTGCGTGTCTGGAGAGCTTGCATGGGGGTGTTAATGGTTTGAACAATGATTTACATGCAATTCCAAGGGAGGCAAGGGAGTATGGGCGAGGACGTTTGTCATCATTTTGTGCTGGCTGCAGCCACAATAATTTGGCAGCTATCGTTCATAAGACTTTCAAACCTAATCTTCTTTACCAATTGTATTCAGTGGCATCTGAAGTACATTACTCCTCTTCACAGAGATGGCACTGCTGTCACCTACCATGAGAAGTTCACTGAAGAGAGGGACTGATTTGGCACTTTTGTCTTTGGGGCTTCACCTCCTTGTATGGAGGATACAGGAAGGGTAAATTGGAGAGAAGCATTGACAGTTGGGCAACCATCTGAGCCATGAAATATATGATTCTAGCACCTAGTGGTGGTAATTGTCATTTTGTGAAGGTAAAGGGATTAGATTTCCCCATTGCCATTGGCCATAGAATGGATTAGGGACAGTCATGAAGATTTTGGGTGTTACCAGATCACATTAGGGAGATTAGATATTTGGCTTCAACATATCTAGCTGCCCCGAGGATCAGCCAATTCACAGCATAAAGCTTAGCCAAGGACCAATTGATAGGAGTAATCTACATTGGGTTATGCCTTCCCAGAGTGGTATTAAGGATCTTCTGGGCACTGTTTTGTACTGTTCTAGTTTATCTATTCTAGCATTCTGAGTCTGTGTCTTGTCTTTCTTATCTTGAAGGTCTGCACACTTCTTGTGCTTTTTTTCCTTTTTCTTTTTGCTTCTTGACTTCTTATGAAGTTTTCAAAGTTGGTATGTTTAGTGAGTTTCCCTAAATGACCCAGACCCAAGGAATCTTCCATGCAAAAACTTGCTTTGGTAAGAGTCCTATTTTGATTAAGCATACTGCATAATGGAAGAAGGTCAAGTCTATAAGACCCTCACTCTAATATATGTCCTACTTTATAGGAGAAAAAATAAATTTTTATGGTCAGGAAAAATTATGAATGTCTATTATTTTTCAGGCAATAGGTATGATGTGGACAGGAGTGAACAGCCAATTTATAGGGTCCTTTATCTAATTTCATGGTCTGGTTTGGCCATGGGATTTGTTCATGTGGCAGAAATAGGTGCAACCATCTAGGGACCCTCCCCAAATGACATAAAAGCAGTTCCAATAAATGGACATAAGTATGAATCAGGTTGTGAACTTTCTATAAAGAGAATAAATATCAAGGAATTGAGAAACATTGCGAGCATTATGCTCCAAAATTAAGTTTGGATTGGAGATTTTGCACACTTAGTAGGCTCCAGCACCAAGAAAGAATAACAAAGATGCATAGCTAATAATTAGAGACTGCTTATGTCAAAGTAAGAAATAAAGCATCAAAAAGTAAAAAAGTGGCAGAACAAACCCTCTGCTCTCGTGTGTCTTCCCACTGCTCCTCATGCTCACGCTTTCTCTTCCACATTTCTTTGGTTTCTTCTTCTTCCTTCTTCAGTCTCCCTTCCTCTTCTGATATCTATGTAACAGAATTACACATTTGATCATGGAAGGACGAAGAATGAAAAGGTGATTCTCATAGAAATATAAAAGAAACATGACCATATAAGGTTCAAGGATACCCTCATTTGCATTTTTCTCCGGCGCCACTCATGTTCTGTTAACAGTTCTCGCACTCTCTGTTTTAATTGCTGCTGAAACTCTTCTGATTGCTCATACTGCTGCTCATATTTTCCCTGTATTGCAAAGGAAGTTATATAACAGCTTGATTGATATTCAAAAGTCAGGAAAGCAATTATGTTTCTTCATATGATTGAAAATAATAGAAATTTCAAGGACATAAAATGAAGGAAGAAATGATTAGAAAGGGGAGAGGGGAATTAGGGAAGAATTAATTGCCGGGCTAAGTTGCAAGATAAATGATTATTTTCTTGTTGGGAAGTCCAAAGATACAAAGGGAAGAAGGTTGTAATACATCATGAAGCCTCATTCATATGAAGTCCCTTGACCAACAATCCCAAGTAAGCCAAACTTCCAATGAAAATGCATTCTGATTGAAACTTCAACTTCCATTGGAGAAGTATAAAATAAAAGTTCATTAAATTGATGAAAAATTAAAGTTGACAAAATATGTCATGTTAAAGTGTTCTCAGTTGATGAGATGATAAGGAGCTGGAAGGAGATTGCAGAAACAGGCTCAAGCAGGATAAACGTTTGCTGGACACCTCCACCTCATGGGTTCACCAAACTGAATTTCAATGGTAGCAGCATAGGCAATCCAGGGCCTTCTGGAATAGGGGGAGTAATAAGGGATGAAGCACGAAATTTGTTGGCTATGTACTCTGGTCCGATTGGGGTGGGAGACTCTTTGAGGGCTGAGATTCTAGGAGCTATTGAAGGGATACAAAGGGCCAAAGAACTGAATATTAAAAAGCTGATTATAGAAGGTGATTCTGAAATTGTGGTGAATTGGCTAACAGAGGACAGTTCTATGCTCTGGAGATACAGCAATGAAAAGAGGAAATTCAAGTGGTTCACCAAGGACATGGAAATACGTTGTACATGGATAAAGAGAATTGCAAATGCATTGGCAAATGGTTTAGCTAAACAAGGGGTAAATAGGAATACTATGTTCTGGGCTGTTTTGTAATTGTAATTGCTTCATGGTCAGAAAGTACCTTGGGTAGTTGGGAGTTAAGACTATTTAGCTCCCTCCTTTGTAACTCTGATTATCTAATTCCTCATTAATAAAATTTCATTGTTATTGATAAAAAAAACATAAAAATAAAAAGAACAAATCTTGAACATTTCAGCAAAATTTGGAACATTTTTAACATTTCAGTCAATCTAGATAAACCACATAGAAGAGAGCAGAGGGAGCAAAAACAAGAAAACTAGTTAAAACAATAATGACTGGATGCATGTTCCACTTCATACTTCATATTACCTCATCAACCAATGATTTTATCTTAGATGCTGTGTCTTTCTTCAACTGCTTCTTCCTCTTTGCTCTAAGTTCTTCTGCAATTTATTAGATGCAAATCAATACTTACTCTTTAACTTGTCCCACAAAATAAAAAATAATTCTAGCTACAGAGAAGAATATATTCTTTTTTCTTCATTAACTTGGCTAAGCAGATACTCCAGTTCTCGGCTTAGGGTTTGCTTGAAGTATACAACAAGTTGAGAGGAGTGAGAAAAAAGAGAATTGAGAAAAAAGGGAAAACTGGAGATAAAATTGACCAAAAATCCATGCTCACCTTTTGCCGCATTAACTTGGCTAAGAAGATACTCCCTTTCTTGTGGATCAAGTAATAATTGTTGAGCTTTTGCCAATGCTGCTCAGTAGGCAATAACCTCTTGTCAGTGAACAGTAAAATTGTCATAGGAAATATACAAGTTATATTAAAGTTAACGAGTTATTCCTTCGAATTAGCATTTGAATTTGGTATTAGTAGATCAAAAGCCACATTTTGGTTAGAAAGGCAAGGTTATGCAATATGAAGGTAACATTATAATGCATCCAATTAAAGCTAAGACTAAGGTTTCAACTACAGAAATACCAGCAAGAATGAATATTAATATTAATTGATAAATATGGAAACTTAGTGCAAGCATGTAATTACATTCTCAGGCACTTGTTCTCCAAGTATATATTGTGAGACATGAACAAAGTCCTATGTAGAGAAGATTGGCCGAATGGCCCATAGGCTGTTTGTCTTATTTTATCTTTTTATGTTCTTTGCTGTAATGGGCCTCAATTTGGGCCTATATTTCTCTATGTTATGTTTTTTAATTATCTACCCAACCAGGGGCCTCTCTGTAGATTACTAAAGACCCCCCCCCCCTTTCAACTAATGTTATAAATCTTTATTCTTCCTAATATAAAACATTTTTATTAAAAATAAAGAAAAAATGAGATCCCCCCTTCCTCTTCATCCTCCTCCTAACCCCCCTCCTTATGTTCGGGAGGCTTACGCCTCCTGCGTTCTGAACTACGCGCCACGCCTCTAGGTAGTGGAACGCCTCGCGTCACGCCTCCGCGTTTTAAAACACTATGTCATTTTCATTTGGGTCATCTTTCTTTTTCTGCATTAAGTCATTTATTCCCATAACTATTTAAGGGAATTAATTTGTCTAGTCTTCATTGTGTCTTGTGAATTGTCAAAACATTGTAGAAGCAGTTATCCTTTGAGTAATAAAAGATCTTCTTCTCCATTCCATATTGTGCACTCTGATGTGTGGGGGCCTTACCACTTTACCTTCTTTGGGTGGCTACAAACATTTTATCTTGTTCATTGATGATTTTCACGATTCACATGGATATTTTTTATGAAGTCCTACGATGAAGTTCCTAGACTTGTGAGGCAATTCCATGAATTTGTTCTAACCCAGTTTGATACCAGAATTAAAATTTTTCAGATTCGACAATACAAAAGAATATTTTGAGAAAAACCTAACTTATTATCTCATTGATTTGGGGATTATTCACCAAAGCTCTTGTGTTAGGACCCCAGAACATAATGGAGTTGCTGAAAGAAAAAACCGGCATATTGTTGAAGTTGCAAGAAGTATCCTGTTCTCACATGTCCCTACAAAATTTTGGGGTGATGTTCTCACTGCAACCTACCTAATCAACCATATGCTATCCAGGGTATTGGGGTTTAAGTCTCCCTTCAGTCTTCTTCATCCGGGCAAGGACCTTTTTCCTATCCCCTTCCGTGTCTTTGGCTGCACTTGTTATGTACATATTCCAAGTGTCCAGAGACATAAATTTGAACTAAAAGCCCATAAGTGTATTTTCCTTGGTTATTCCCCCACACAAAAGGGTTATCGTTGTTTTAATCCGAAAACTGAAACTCGGTATGTCTCAATGGATGTCACCTTTGATGAGCTTTCTTCTTTTTATGATTCTTCTCAAGAGAGGCATTGTCCAAGGGGGGAGAATTTGTCACAGTTGTTTGCTCTCCCCCTTCCTGTCCCAGTTGAGCCTTCTTTAGAGCCTCTTCCTCCTTTAAATGAGTCAAAGGAGGATCAGTCATCTCATTCTCATTCCAATGTTCCTATCCCTCCTCCATTACCTTCTTGTCCTCCTTTTAACCCCAGATTGTACCAACGGCAGAGAACTAGAAGCGAGCAGATTGTTTCCCCTACACCACATGAGCCTCCTGCACTTCCAGTCACAGAAGAGACAACAGGTACTGATACAGCCCCTTTGGAGCCATCCTTCCCAAACCTTAATATCCCGATTTCTATCAGGAAAAGAAAAAGGAAGTGTACTGTACATTGCATTTCCAAACACCTTTCTTATAGTTTGCTCTCTCCTTCATATTTTGGCTAATCTTTCTTTTGTTGCTTCTAACCCAACACCCAGGTTGGTGTCAGAAGCTCTTACTATTCCAGAATGGAGGGATGCTATGAGAACAAAAATTGATGCCCTGCACAAGAATGACACTTGGGAAGTGGTTGATTTACTTGAAGGGAAGGAACTAGTAGGCTGCAAGTGGATTTTTACCATCAAGTATCATGCCGATGGCACCATTGAAAGGTACAAGGCTAGGCTGGTTGCAAAAGGTTATACACAGACATATGGGATTGACTATCTGGAGACCTTTGCTCTTGTTGCAAATATGACTTCTGTAAGAGTTATGCTATCTCTGGCTGCACAGTCATACTGGCAAGCTTGGCATGATTGACATCTATGCTCAGCTTGAGGGGGAGTGTAGAGAAGATGGGCCAAATGGCCCATAGGCTGTTTGTCTTATTTTATATTTTTATGTTCTTTGCTGTAATGGGCCTCAATTTGGGCCTTTATTTCTCTTATGTTTTTTAATTATCTGCCCAACCAGGGGCCTCTCTATAAATTACTAAAGTTTAAGTTAATGAAATAGGATTAGGGGTGTAAGAGGAGATTATGTTCGAAATCTCTATCTGAACCCTTATTGCCCCCACCTTCTTCTTCCACTTCTCTCTTCTTGAAACCTGATTTCTGCTACTCTCAATCGATTCTCTGCAATATTTTGAACAGTCATTTCATTTCAAAAGGCTGTTTTTCTTCTTCCTAAAAGTCATAATCAAATCATAAATCATAAATCATAAATCATAGAGAAGGTTGAAACAAATCAAGTCTTGCATTGTATGGTAAGTCATAAGATTATTAACGATGCCTAGAAATTTATCAAGAAATTAAAAATATATATTTTTTATCAGTAATTGATCAGATTTTAAAAATATATAATCAAATCATAAATCAAGAAATTAAAAATATATAATTTTTATGAGTAACTGATCAGATTATTAATGATGAGGCCAAAACCATTCTCTGAAACTATAAAAAGAGAATCAGACCTCTTGCTACAATTTGAGGAATTTGATTCCACTGTCAACCAGGTCCTTCCCTAGAGTTCCCACAACGACTTCAAAAAAGGACCCATCAGCTTCTAATGCATTCATAATCATCCCCAACTTCTACCTCTACCACCAACCAATCATCCTTTACTCTTACTTCAAATCCTGCCTCCCATCCCCTTCAACCAGTACGTCTCTTCTTTCAGCCTCCCCTCGGTTTGAACCACCAACAAATGTTTCTTTTTAACCAGAACTGGACTCCCTGGATCCCCTAAGAATGACCTACCACCCTCCTCTGCTTCCATCTCTAATCTTCTCCTAGAAAAAGTTTTCTCTGAAGTCAGCAAAAATTTCTCGTTCAAGGACTTAACCTTGACTCCTGCTTGATCGTACAGACTGGGATAATTACTCCCAGAACAAGCCAAGGTGCAAATTTCTTCACTTCAAACTCCCTAGATCCCCTGAGAATGGGTTAACTTACATCTTTCAGCTTCTCTCAAATGAACTTTCAAGAAGAATGACAAGTTCTCAGTGAAAACTGTGTATCGTATGGCCATAATGGAGAGTGGGATACTGGGATTGATGGGAACAGGTCACCTTCGCACACCAATTCTGAGGACAAGCAGTGGAAGCTCCTTTCAAAGAATTTGAAGACCCTGCCATGAGTCAAGGCTTTTCTCTGGAGAGATTAATAATAGTCTCCCAGTTATGAAAATCCTCTTCACCGGAAAAATTAGTTCCAGCCCCTTGTGTCCGGTGTACCTCAAACATGAAGAATTGATGGAACATGCCATACTTTTCTGTGATCAAGTCACTCCTATTTGGTTAGGCTCTTCATGGATTTCAGATGTGCTATATCTGAGGATGAAGTGGTGTTGTGCTTGCATTTTGCTATATCTGCTTGGCATATCTGGACTAGTGGGAATTTTTCTTTGTATAAGCATGGTAAATCTCATCCTTGAAGTATTATTGATGACATAAACAGGACTCTGAAGTTGAGCAAAGAGATGTAGGAGCTGATCAGTCCAGCCTCCGTAAGATCTAAGCACATCAATCTCCTTCTCAGTGCTACCAATGCTCGTTTTTCCTTGATTAAGACAGATGGAGCCTTGTGGTTTAAGTTAGCTTCCTCCCTGAGGTTGTATCGAAGCTTGAGTCTCCTCTTGTTTCTGGTTAATTTCAATACTTTTTGTCTTTTCTACCAAAAGAATAATCATAAGAATTTCTCACAGAAGAATTTAATTGAGAGATTCAGATAGGATACATTGAGGTTCACAATTCAGATCATGATTCATGAGTCTTGTCATAAATTATAAGATTATGACAACTATGAAGGGATTGTAATTGTTACACGGTGGGACATCTCAGACACAATTGCATCTACCTCTTCAAAGAAAGAACAGAGAGAGAAAGAGAGAGAGAGAGAGAGAGAGAGAGAGAGAGGGAGAGGGATAGAGAGAGAGACTACATGATCCACCACAATAGGAAGTTGAACACAAGAAGGATAGACTATAAGAAACACTGCAAAACAATATTGAAACTCACTGAAACCAATCAAAAGAATTGAAACTCGTTGAATATACTAAACAAATCCCAATTTTGTATAGAAAAATAGCATAGCTAGTATTATTCCATGAACTTTCATAAATGGATGAAGCATCCATGTTGGCCACATGTCAGAATTCAACATTGCATTGACTGACTCTTGGGGCACATCAAAGAAGGTAATTTTTTATGTTCGAAGAATTTGATCTTACCAAAGCCTCTTTCTAGAAGGTCTGCCTTTGTGCTTTTTATTAATAATGACATTAAAATGCACTGAAATAAGATCAAAGGTACACAGCAGGACACCCAAAATTAAGGAAACAACTCACCCAAACAAAACAAGAGAAAGAAAATAATATGACAAAAAGGTAATTTTTACTAAGTAATAAAATTACATTGTTACTGATAAAAAAAATAATATAACAGAAAGAACATAATCACAAACATACACTAGCCTAGCTAGGCAGGTTTATTGGATGATATAGATAACAGAGTACTACTTCTAACATCTAGGACCCTTGTCTTCCAAAAATATGTCCTAAAGATTAAAGATTAAAGAACCAATAAACAGGGAGCAAAGGAAACTAAAAATAACAACCAGATTCCATGTTCACCTGGTAGATTGGAAAGATTAAAGATACATTACCTGCAAATGCCTCCTTTGCTTGTGGATGCTTACATTTGTCAGGGTGAACCAGCAAAGATAACTACAGAAATTGAATAATATAAAACAAGTTAATGAATGACTGGCTTATGAAACAAAACATGTTCCAAATGGAATTAATATCCATTCTGAAAAGTTACCTTTCTATATTGCTTTTTCATATCATCAGGTGTTGAATTGAAAGGAAGGTTAAGATACTCAAATGGATTTAATTTGAAACATGAAAGAATCCTGCAAATGTTCACATTTTCCAGAGAGAGAATATCTAAATCAGAGAATATGGAAGGCAAATATCAAATAGGTAGATTATCAACAATCAATTATACATGCATCAGAGCAGCATCATGTATATGTTACTAAATTCGTAAAAGCATTGAAAACAGATAGTTAACTTCAAACATCAAAAGAACCACCATAAGCAAAACAAATATGTGAAGAAATCGTGATCGACTATAACTAGAATACCAGTCATTTGTTCCTTACATTTCATAACAAATACCAATTGTTTTAACTACTAATAATTAGAAGGATAATCACAATAACAAAAATCAACAGCATCAATAACAATAATAAGGACAGCAAATAACATTGATGAAAGCCAATAACTGCTGAAATAAAACAAAAGCATCTTCAGCAAGTATAAATAAACCAAAAGGTTATAATAACAGAGATAAAAATTTCCATTGTAACAGACCATATTCCTCTATATCCAATTATAGGAGCAAAACATTCCTCCCAAAAACCTTCATATCAAAGCTGACACCAACTTCAGTCTATGTTAAATTTCTCAAAGATGTCCATTATAAAAGAAAACGCCCTTTTTCTTCTTCAGATATTATCCCTATAACAAATTTGCTAAATTATTTTTCTTCTTTTATTAGTAACAAGAAAAAAATACACTTAATAGCAAAATATTTTGGTGACAATGTTTACCTTTTCTTTGGTAGGTAACAAGAACTTATATTATAAAAATTAGTAGAATCAAAACTGTACCAAAGGGTGGCCAATAACAAACCCCTAATCCTATATACAAAAGGTATTTTATTGCAATAAAAACCTACACCGGGAAAGAAAGCCATTCCTTCCCAAAAGCAGCACAATCTACATGACCACATATTTGAACTCATCAAAAGAAGATGGCCAATCCACAACATAACCTATATGAATGCAGATTATTCGTCCTTTTAATCATTACCTAGGAGTATCTTACTTCTTTCCTTCCAGACAGCCCCAAAAATTGCATAAGTTAACAAACTCTACAAATACTGGCCCTTAACAAAAAAAGTGAACTGGACCACAAAGTAAACATTATACAGTTCCAAGGGACATCTCCACCACAACCCAAACAGCAATAAAGCAAACTGCTAACTAGATAACATGATAGGTGAGAACTCAGACAAATCATTCAGCGGCACTAATTTTAGGATTACTACCAGAAGAACTTCGTATCTGATTCCAAAATCAAATAACCATGTTCAATAAATCAGCTTCAACAATTTCCTAGGTGCTTTTCCAGGAGCAGATTGCCTAGATTATGTCCTTATTGATTCCAAGAGTTTAATGATTTCCAATCAAGATGTGAAATGGGGCGGGCTGCCCTTGGGCCGGCACGGCCCATGTGCTACAGTGCCAAGCTTTGCCAAGAACAGCCCACAACCCCAAGCCAAGCTGGGCCTAGAGGTTTAGGCCCACGGCATGGCCTGAATCCCACATGCGCGCTGGCCCATGGGCCAACCATTATATAGCAGCTAGTTTCGCCTTGTGGGCCAAATATGACTTGAATGCCCCCCAACAGCTATAAACAATTAGTTTGGGGGCATTTCTGCATTTGATCTTAGGAGGGACAAAAATGATTTAAATGTCACCCCAAGAGCTATAAACAGCTAGTTTGGGGGGACATTCTGGTCAAGTGATAAATAAACTTTATAAAGGACCAGAGTACCCCTCCCAACAACTATAAATAGATAGTTTTGAAGGGTATTTTGGTCAATTCCATATTTCCCAACTCCTACAAATACCCTTACCCTTACTCGTTTTCATCACAACAACAATCAATCTCTCTTGTACTCCCACACTCTCTTACTCTCTAATTCAATATTTCTCAAATTCCTTTCAAGTTTCAACAAGGAGGCATGCTTAAGTGTCTCAAGTTGGCAATTTAGGAGGCTTAGAAGCTTCATCTATTGAAATCAAATTGGGATACCGAACTGGATTACCAAGTAAGGAGTAATTAATTTTTTTATTCTAAATTTTATGGTTTTAATATTTTACATTTATTAAAATGGTCAGTTCTTCCCAAACACCCTTTCCCTATGGCCATGGCTTCGATGAAACCCAATCCCAATATGATAGCACCAGCATTGGTGCTAATGCTACTGCTACTGATGTTGGTACTTGGTCCTAGTGATTCTAGGGGAATCAAGAGAAAAACTAGTGATGTGGCCTTACTTCACAACACAAGAAGTTAAGGGAAAGGGTATCAAAGTTGTCTGTAAAAAATGTAAAAAGGATTTTAGTTACCAAAGCACTAGACACGAAGAAGACAGACACATAGAGAAACAAAAAAAGGACAGCCTAGTGCACAAGGCTCCCAAGTCCCACCAATGCAAGGTCTAGGGAGGGAGAGATGTATGCAGCCTTACCCCTGTATATACAGAGAGGTTGTTTTCAAGATTTGAACCCTGGTCACCTAGGTTGTAATGGAGCAACCCAACTGTTGCACCAAGGCTCACCCTCAAACACAAATTGCATACAACAAAATGGTTCTCAAACACAGATTGCATACACATCTGCTTCATTATTGTACATGTTGAGCAACCATTTTTATGTTTTTGTAATCATTTGTAAACCCTATTTAAAAAAATTGTTTCTAAAAAATAGATGCTCATAAAATTTTCCTTTTTTTGTGTTGGAAACAGTAACTTTCATTAAGGATATCAATTAATCATCAGTGTTGACCCCAAAACAACTTCAAGAATTACAGTACAGCCCAAAAAAAGCTTTCCCTGAAGGTCCCCTGCTTTGTCAAGCTATCTGCCACAGAGTTGGCTGACCTCCTTACCCATTTGAAAGTTACTCCAGCTTTCCTTGCCAAGCAGATTATTTCCCTTATTTGCTGTCTAAAATTCCATTACACCCAACCTCTTTGTTTGCAGCCACCCTTTCATAAAAACAAAATTTAACTTCTACTTTTTCAACTCTTACTTTTAAAATTTCTCTTACTTCGCATATTTGGAGCTTTAGACTTAAATATAATATTAGTTATATTTGTGCCAGTGAGCATTTTATTGATAAATCATGGCTTTTACAAAAAAAAAAGGTTTTACAATACTTGAATGGCCACATACTAGTTCACCAATTGTTGGTAGTATTTTAAATACTATATATAGTTATGGTATTGAAAATAAATAGCTTGAACATTATTTCAACACATATATCAAAAATTAGAAATTGTATTTTGTTTATTTGTACTTTCGGTTCAAGAAAATAAGATTTTAAACATTTATGTCTTCAATATGGAAGAAATATAAAAAAATTTATGTTAAATGTTCAACAGAGGTGGAATTCCACCTACGACCTATCTATGTTAGAAAGTTGCATCCTAAATAGGGATACTCTTACCATGTTTTACAATGAAAGAATGTCCAATGATGTCATAACTAAATATGATTGGGAAATTGGCATTTGTATAAAAGAATTTTTACAACACTTTTGTGATGCTACTAATATTTTTTCGAGTGTTTATTACCTAACTTCATGTACATTACTCAATTATATCGAGTGGAAAGCACATGAATAAAATTATCTTGTGTTAGCCACCATGGCATAGGATCTACTAACCCCTCCAATGTCCACAGTTGCATTGGAGTCTTGTTTCAGTGTAGGTAACAAAGTATTAGAGGAGAAATTGAAAAGTATAACAGATGAAACTATGGAGATGTGTATATGTCTCAAAGATTAGTTAGATGTGAAGGATAAAATACAAGATCAAGAACATACACTTCATCCAGTGGGTCATCGGAAGATCTAGATCAAGGAGGTGGAACTTAAAGAGAAGAACAAAAACCTAATATTCAAATAATAGTACAAAATGTTTAATATTATTGTAAATTTTGATTTTCAATTTTATTTGTAAGTCATTTGTGATATTTTTCCAATTCCAATTGTAAATTTTTATTTTCAATTTTATTATACTATTTTATTCCAATGGCATTGTATTTTTTTCAATTTCATTTTCTTATTTCATATATGAACAATTGTTTACATTAAAATCAAGGATCAAAATTTCGATACGATACGCCCCATATCGAGCGAATCGTATTGTATCTTTGGGGTCTCGATACACCTGTTTACAGGTGTTTCAGAACTCTCTTTTTTTAATAAAAAATATACTTAAAAACATCCCCAAAAACCAACTTTTTGAAAAAAAAAAATAGAAACGTGCATGGATTTTAGTACTGATACGCCTTTGCCGATACATAGGGGTGTATCAATATTTTGAACCTTGATCAATTTTTTTTCTTTTTTTTTATCAGCAACACAGAAAATTCATTAGTTAGAAATTCAAGTACAACAAGAAGTTGTGGCAGACAAGCATTCCACTTTGTCCACTAAATACATCACAGCCCCAATCAAACCCAAACCAATCCCTTTAATTACAACACAGCCCAAAAGGTAACCTGACAGAAACATCCTCCTTGCCATAAGATAGCCCAAAACATAGATTGTCTTGGAACTCCTTGCTTAACTGGACCATCAGCCATACTGTTAGCTGATCTTCTAATCCATCTTATTTGAATCACCATGTCTTTAAAAGCTTGTTTGAAGCGCCTGAACTCATTCCTTAACTACCAAATTATTCCCTCCCCTTTCTTCAGCCACTTTACCACAGTTTTTGAGTCCCCTTCAACAATCAATCTATCAATCCCCATTTCTTTGGCTTTTTCAACACCAAACACTGCTGCCTTCATTTCTGCACTCACTACATCACATCCCCATTTCTGTCCCCTTATTACCCCACCAATGCCCGATGGCCCCAGATTTCCAAAACAACATCCATCAAAATTTAGTTTCTTCCACCCAGCATTTGGAGGGGACCATGATGCGATCACAATAGATTTCCTAGATGCAGTGCTTACAATTGTTCCCCAAGACCTGAAAAAGTCTTATGTCTTAAAATCAACAAATAAATCTAGTGTTTTCACCCAATGTGCCACCCTTAGAGTTATCAC